AAAACAGCATGGATGAGCCACTTAACAGGCTTCAGTGAACATTTAACATAATGTCTCTCATGGTGGCTGTGTGCTGTGGAGATGGTTCCAACACACAGCAACTTTGTACAAGGTCTCCTAGGCTGTAAATCTTTAGGGGAGCAGAAAGTCTCTTCTTTCTCCTGCAGAGCAGAAACTGCTGATTCAAACTACTGAGTTTGCAGTTAGCAGCTCAGCTAATGATCCACACTGCTACCAGTAGCACCCAACTCCTATATTTGGAGTCCTGATGTGGCACTGTGGGTTAAAGCACTGGACTGCAAGGTCGGTTTGAACCACAAGATCTAGGTTCAAACTTACCAGCTGCACCTTAGAAACCCTCTAAAGGGTCTGTAGGAGTTGGAACTTCACAACAATAACCAGGGCTCCTTCTTAAATCCCTCATAGACCTGGAAAGACAGAGTACTAGAGATGAAATTAAAGGAATGGGTTGAAGATAAGATTTGGGAGTCAACAATAAACAGTAATAGGCTTTTATAAAAAGTTGCCATGGAATAGACCATTCAATGCTGAAGAACAACCATGAATCTATGAAACACCTCATTACATGGATGATCCTGGAGGTCACTATGCAGAGTGAAATTGGCCAATCACAAGACGACAAATATTGGATGAGATCACTATTGTAAAAAGTCAACCAGGACTTCCGGTTTGGTGGCGGCAGAGCAGAGTCAGACGATATGATCCTATACATAGAAAACTCCAAAGACTCAGTAAAAAAGCCACTAGACATTATTGGAAAATTCAGCAAAGTGGCAGGGTATAAAACCAACATACAAAAATCAGTTGGATTCCTCTATAGTAACAATGACAGCACTGAAAAGGACATTAGGAAAGCATTTACCATTTACCATTTACAGTCGCCGCCCAAAGGATGAAATACTTAGGAATAAACGTAACCAGAGAAACAAAGGACTTATACAAAGAAAATTACAAGAAACCAAAAGAGACTTACAGAAGTGGAAGAACATACCATGTTCTTGGATAGCAAGACTCAGCATTGTGGAAATGTCAATATTGCTCAAAGCAACATAAACATATAATGCAATCCCAATCTAGATTCCAACTACATTCTTCAAAGAGATGGAAAAAACAATTACAAACTTTATATGGAAAGGAAAGAGACCCAGAATAAGCAAAGCACTTCTTAAGAAGAACAAGTCTGGAGGCCTCTCACTTCCCGATTTCAAAATTTATTACATGGCTACAGTGGTCAAAACAGCCTGGTACGGATACAATGAAAGGTACATTGATCAATGGAACAGAATCGAGAATCCAGAAATTAACCCACCCACATACAGCCAACTGATTTTCAACAAAGTACCTAGGTATATTGCATGGGGAGGAGACAGTCCTGATAGAACTGGAAAGCAAGATGCAAAAGATTGAAACAAGACCTTTCTTTACCTCACGCCCTATACAAAAATGAACTCAGCATGGATTAAAGACCTAAATGTGAATCCCGAAATTATGAGGGTCATCAATGAAAAAGTAGGGACAAATGTGAGGGCACTAATTCAGGGAATACACAGACTACCAAACATTTTGAAAATTACACAAAAGTAGACAAAATAGAAGATTGGGACATA